TGTAAAAGACCAAATTGATTGACCAAATTGACAACGTAACAAGAGTAATGATACACAATTAAAAAAAATATAAAATTTATGTACCCATCAAGACATCATTTTAAAACAGTGTACCTATTAAAATGATATTTAAAATGTCACCGTCACATTATTTTGATAAAAAAATTCTATACGATTGTTATTATTATTTTATTTGAAAGAATAGTATTTTTCATCTAACAATGGGAGCCAAATAGTGGCTGAATGAAATGTGGATGATGTTGAATAACTGCCTATTGTTATACTTCAAATAATTGAGTCCTCACTTCTCAGTAAATTGCCTCACTCAAATGTAAGTAATAACTTGGTACAAATGCTATATATATATATATAAACTAAGAATCCTGTAAAAATGTTCACGAAATTCAGTTTTAGTATATTTGAAGGAACAAAATCCATAATTAAGGTCCAGAATCCATATCTATGGGTCATGTCAAGAAGATGTTGAAGAGCAACAACCAGTTACATTACATTGAATGACATCAAACATGCTACGTCGTATGGACTTTTTTCCTTGGAAAACAAGAGTACTGATTCTTAACCTTAATAGTGAGAAAACTAATCTAGTGAATCAATTTTCTTAATCTGAAATCTAGTGAATCGAATTTCTTAATCCGAAACTAAAACTAGAATCCTCCTCGAGGTGAAAATTATGTACAAAAGATTCGGGCTGTAGTGGTAGTGAGAGGGCACTTATGTGTTCAGAGGCAGAGTCAGGATTTGATAATTGGGGGGGCCAAAAGTGAAGTATTAGGCAAAATTCAAGCGATCGGATTAAGACAGATTAAATAGCTTAAATTATTATTAAAATCAATAAATTATTGTTAAAAATAAATTAATAAGTAATGAAACGCTTTAAACTTGTTTTAATAACTCAAACTTCAATGATACAAATTAGGAGTACTACACAATTCATTAGTATATCAATGATAATGATTTACGATTTTTTGAAGTTGTCTTTCACTAACGAGTGTGAGGAAAATAATTAAGTGAAAGGAAAAATTATAGTATATATCCTTATAACATGTATATCCTTTCGTAATTATATCACAATGATTTGTAACAAAATTACAATGGTTTACAACTTTTCTCATCGAAATAGTTTTAATGTTCATGACATGGGCCATGTTTGGGAAGTTGGATTTAGGTTAAAATAGTTAATAAAGACAAAATAGGCTACAATAGTTAATAAGATAAAATGTCACATTTAAATTATAATCATTTTATTTTTTCTCTTACAACCATCAAATCAATTACAAAAAAAAAATCGATCATCATTCCAAATATAACTTTTTTAGCCAGAATAAAATAGTCCAAAAGTCAACTATAATATCTTATTCCCAAATGGGGCATGAACACAATGGTTTATATTCATAATTAAGATTAAGTTATTTTATTTATTTTTTTTTTATGACATGTCCCTTCATGACATAACTTTACTAACACTACAAAAATTGTAACTTTTCAAGTTAATGAAGCAATATTATCGTGCTCTATAATTAAAACTAACGTCTAAGATCCTATTGTGTGGCAAAAGAACAAAAAAAATCATTCGTGTAATATTATTATTATTATTATTATTATTATTATTATATAGTCCTTTGAGAATAACAAAACATAGGTTTTTTTTTTAATTTTTAATTTTTTCTTTTGTTTTTTTAAACCCTAATGTCTCCATCTTCGATTCTCTTGAAGAACGTCAGGTAATGTCGATAAGATATAACCCATAGCTTGAGTGACAATTTGTTCTGGTAACCTCTCATACATGTCATGACATGGAGGTGTATAATATTGTCAACATGACACTTCCATAAATAAATTTAAAAGTAAAAAAAATTCCCAATGAAGCTGCTACTTCATGTCCTCATTGCTCATGCTCTAATAAACAAAATCTTCCTTAATCTCAATTACTTTATTTGTGCATAAATCAATTTCAGAACAAAACATAATTATCTTACATAAAATTTACAAAAAAATAAAATTTATCTTTATGAAAGAATTATATTTTATTTTGTGATCGATTTCTTTATTTAGAAATTTTACAAAAAGAGGGGTCTAGTCTGGGAAACAACCGGCAAACTTAAGGTACATCAAATTGGTTACATAATATAATACAAAGTCTACGTAGACAATATATATAGATATAGGGGCTTTCAATTTAATGTAAAAATTCAGTTGCAATGTCATTGTCAGGTTAGATCAAAAGGATGAGTCCCCTAAGGGACCATATTAATGTCGGAGCCTGTAAGTAGCAGACGGAAAAAGCTATTTTTACAACAAAAAAATATACATATTTATTAGGGGACCATATTAATGTCGGAGCCTGTAAGTAGCAGACGGAAAAAGCTATTTTTACAACAAAAAAATATACATATTTATATATATAATACGTTGCTAGAATGATATAGTGGTGTCATTTTATAAGGAAATATTTTCTTCAATTTTTTTTAAAATATATAAAATGATATAATATGAAATCGAAAAATGTTAAATAGATTTTTTTTAGAACAAGGCATAAAGGCAACAATCTTTGGTTATGTTTGTTACAGCCTAGAAGACGTGATCTATTATTTGAGAAAAATTATGGTACATACTTCTCAAAAGATGTGCATTTTACGTATTTTATAACTAAAAAAGAAAATAATATAATTTCATAATTTTTGAGTCATTTAAAAAAAAAAATCATAATTAAACACTACATGAGGCCCTTTGGTCGTTATCTACCTTGATTGTAAAGGATAAGGGTCTCGTTTCGTGTAACTGTTAAAACAGATTATACATTATAGCTTAACAGATTATAGATTATGACTTTAATCAGAAGTTGTTAATCTGTTTAATATAACTGTTGGATTATAAATTTAAGTTGCTGAGTAATGTTTGTTAAATAAGCTGTGAAGTAATTTTTTCAATTAACTTTTATTTTTTGTTATTCACTACTTGTCTACATTTCTCATAAATAATAATAATAATAATAATAATAATAATAATAATAATAATAATAATAATAACAATCTATAGTCTATTTGAGTCTTTTTCTATTTTTAAAAAAATAAAAAATAAAAAAATTAAGAGTATAGCCGTAAATTAATATGTCCACAGCAGAAGCTGATAATCAGAAACAAGGGATGAACAGCTTCTCAGAATTAGCTTTTTTGAGTTAAAATAAGTTGTTAGAATCAGAATTTATTTAAAATAAATTTAACCAAACAGTCTAAAATAATTTTTCAAAAGCTAAAAGTTATAAATTGACTCAAAAAAGCTCAAACAAACACCCTCAAACAGGGAGCATGTTTCCTTGGGTCTCTTGTGCTTGGTTTTGGCTACAACCCTCTTCTAACTTAACCCAAAAAAAAAAAAAAAAAAAAAAAAATCTCATGAGTCATAACCAAAGAAAAAAGTTGGTCATAATTAGGACTATTTTAAAAAGATGGTTATAATCAATTTTTTGGTTAAAAACTGATTAAAAGTTGATTATAATCAGTTTTTTGTGAGAGATGGTTATAACTCACTTCCCAAAAGACCTCTTAAAAAAGAAAATAACATTACTAGAGGTGTAAATGACACACCTCTATCCTTTCAGGGGTGTGTATGGTAGTATTTCCCTTTTTTTTAAAACAATATGAGTAGATTGTTCATTATAAAAATCAGATTGATTCGATGGTAATAATCTAATGATTTTGTCATAATTGTCTTAAAAAATGGATGATAAAAGTAATTTAAAACTAGATCGCCTAGTTTTATTTTTTAATCTAACAAACAAGTTAAAATTATGTATCTTCAATTATCATGCCAATTTTTTATTTTTCATGAATGTTGTACATGGGCTTACAGAATAAGCGTCCGTTTGGGAAGTGTGTTGGCTTTTTAACTTTTTGGCTTTTTTGACTATATGAACCTGGGCTCAAAAGCTTAGTTTGGGAAGAGCTTTTGGCTTTTTGGCTTTTTTGATTTTTTTGTGAGAAAAGAGTGTAATGATTATGGGGTTGGATGGGATGTTTTGTCTGTCGTGGCTCATGAGCCTATTCTGTCTTTTATAGCTCATTGAGCCAAAAAAGCCCAATAAGCCCTTGCCAAACCAACCCTAAATGTATCGAGTCTTCGATGGGTCTTATAGGTCTGGACAATACCCTTTTATCCAAATTTAGATGAGAGGAAATCTATTCTTATAAAAAAAACTTGATTTTTTTTTTAATTTTATTTTTATAAATAGGCCTATTTTGAAAAATGACTTTTTTTTGACTTATTATAAAAAAAATATGCAAAAAAATATATATATAACTCAAACAAATCAATAAATTAATGAATTGTTTTTTTTTTTTCGTCTTCCTGAAGAAGCCACAGTATTATTGTGTGAAATTTTGTAATCATTTCATTTCAAAATCAAAATACTCAACATTGTGACGTATAATCTTGCAATTATCATGGTCACATCACTATAGATTATTATTATTTGCATAAAAATTCTGTTTTTATATCATTTTATTTTACAAAATACATATGTGCACAGAAAAAATTTAAAGGAACATCTACACGTCTAAAATGAAGTTGAGTCTCATATTCATTTTTTGAAAATATTATGGTACACATCCTTCAAATAGTGTATACATATACACTTTATAACTACAGAAAAAAATAATATAATTTCTCACTTTCTAAGTTATAATTAAAAAAATAAACAAAAGTTATCATCAAATACAAAAAAAAAAATTACAATTAAAATCTCAAAAGAATGTCATAACTAAAAAATAAAATTAATCACAACTATAAAAAAAATATAAAAAAAAAAAAAATAGTAACTAAGTGCATATATGAGGTGTGTACAATAAAATTTTCCTTCATTTTTTACTATTTTTGCTATTAATTTCTTTTAAGTAATTAAAACTTATATGAGTGAGTAATTTATTCCAACTGATAAGTCACAATATTTTAGTCACATCATATATATATTTGCCTTTTGTTCCCAGTGATTTAAAGGGTTTGGGGAAAGAGAAACTAGGTCATAAACAAACTCAATTCCCTTCAACCACAAAGTTAACAGAAGAGAGGGAATATGGGACAACACTCTTGCTGCAATCAACAGAAGGTTAAGAGAGGCCTTTGGTCACCTGAAGAAGATGAAAAACTCATTAGATACATCACCTCTCATGGCTATGGTTGCTGGAGTGAAGTCCCTGAGAAAGCTGGTACTCTCTCTCTCTCTTGAGAGTTACGCGATGTGAATTTTAGTAGTTACCAATTTTATGAGTAACTTGGAAATACAAAAAAGCGTGACGAAACTTCTGAATTGTGTGGTTTATATAATAGAACAGATAAATCTATTTGTATGTTTTGAATTATAAAATGTTTTGTTTTGGGTTTTAGGGCTTCAAAGATGTGGTAAGAGTTGCCGGTTGAGATGGATCAACTACTTGAGACCTGATATAAGAAGAGGGAGGTTTACTCCTGAGGAGGAGAGGTTGATTATCAGCCTTCATGGGGCTGTTGGCAACAGGTTCTCACTAATTCTATACTCCTCCATTCTTTCCCCCATTTTTTTAAGACCCATGAATTTATTTATTTATTTTTTAAAATTTTTTTTCCAGAGTATTTTGTATAACTTCTACTTATAATTTATAATGCAAAAATAAGTTAAATAAACTAAAATAATCAATTATTGAAAAAGTGGGAGAGAAATTATTTTAGTTTATATTTTTGTAATTATCAATTTTTAACTTGTAACAAATTACAGCAAACATACTCATAATCTTGTCTCATACATACCGGATAATTATGCCTAATTTAAAATTTTAGTGCATGCCTTACCTAGCTTAAAATCACTAATGAGACTATCTTTGGTTTTGAGGGTTTTTTTTTTAATTTTTTATTAATCAAAGAAAAATGTTTTTTTATTAATACAGAAAGCAGTACAAGTCATATAACAATAAAAAGGACTGGGAAAACATCATTGTTTTGAGCTTTTTTGCATGCAATTCATGGGTACTATTAATGGTGTGGGTTTGATTCTCATGGTTGAGTTGATGGAGCTTTTGCAAGAAACTTTATAAGTATATTAACATCTATTAAAATAAATAAAAACTTCTGGAAGATGTCATACATGTGTGCAAGTTTCTGGATGATATGTAGGTATATATGTTTTTATTTGTAGATATGGAAGCAATTTCACTTTCAAAGTAGTTCGTAAAGAATGTGTCAAATGGGCATTTCGGCAGATGAAAACAATGCCATTGAAGAAGTTTTCAATTGAAAACACAGGTCTATCTGTCACACCATTTGCTTCCATTTTTCCTATATTCTTAGTGACATTTCAGGCTATTAATTAACGACAAGAGTCCTAATATACCCCCAATATATATATATATATATATATAAAATCTATACATAGTATTGTTGTATATATTTATTCATTTCGATTCATAACGTCAATCAAAATGAATTATCATTTCAAAAATATTATCACTACATTATTATGAGAAAATTTTCTATTTATAAATAATTATTCTAACAACAATCAATGTCCACTAAAAATCAGTATTTTGAAGTGCTATCTAACTTGGTCTATGTCAATGAGCTAGCTCAATTATATTATTTCTTCAATAGTTTTGTTATAAATATTGAAATCGATCACAAAAGTCAATGCAGAATACATACATTTGGACAAAATTTTACAAGGTTTGTTAGTGAGATTCGATTTAAAAAAAATCTATATATATATACATGATGTGTTTGATTCTATGACCGATTTCTGTGTTTGTAGACTTATTCTCTCTTTGTTCAACTTTATAACTCTTAATGAACATGCATGAGTTTGCACCTCTTGTAGATGGGCTCACATAGCCAGTCACCTACCTGGGAGAACAGACAATGAAATCAAGAACTATTGGAATTCTTGGATCAAAAAGAAGATCCGAAAGCCTCCAGCAACTAACAAACCTTGTTCCGATCAGCATTCCCAACTAGGTTACACCGTCAACCGAGCAGACAATTTCTTCAATCAAGACTTAGTCATGACAAAGCCTCCCTTTCAAGACGCTATGTTTTCTTCTTCTCCAAACCCTAATTTGTTCATGTTTGACACTGGTAACGAAAGAGCCGAACTTTTCCACGAGCCGGTAGGGTTGAGTTCTGAGACTTGGGTTATGAACCAAGAACAAGGTCAAGCATGTCCTCCTATGGCTTCTTTTACGACTACGATGGACTCAAATTACTTGTCGTCGTTGGTAGAGAACATCGAAGGAATGGTGACAATGGAAGTGCAGTCTTGCAGTGTCAATAATGAGGGAAGAGAGATGGGGTTGGAGTGCTTACAGAGACAGGAGGAGTTGAATGAATGGGTTATTGAATCCCAACAGTGCCCTAGTTTTCTGTTTTGGGACCATGCTGAAGGATCACTAGGCGGGGATGAAATTGCACCTACTTCATCAAACTTGGGAACTATTCTTTCTTCTTACCCTTCATCTTTATGAGATGCTAATGCCACGGCATCTTCTGTCACAAATTTTTCTGCATTCTCTATAGATTTATGTCTCGAGATTTGTGTATATTGAGATTTTTATATGATCTAATGATTGAGTGTTTTGTTTGTCACATTATATTTCAATATTATATTAATCTAATGTGTTCTATTTGTCTCCAATACAATATTAACATAAGATAACAAGCAAAACATGGTTAAAAAAAATATGATCATCGTAATATTATTGAAAGCAAAAGAATATAGGTAAATCTCATTTTTTTCCAAGCTTACTTATAAGCATACTAAATCTGTGTAAGTACTCTAATAATCAATCAGATGGAGCGATTTGAATATAAAATTTATTAGTTGCTTTATTCATCCAAAAACTTAAATTGAAAATAAGTACATTTATTATTTATATTCTCGACACACTTTCAGTCAAAATTACTATGGTTTACATAATTTAGCTACAGTATTTATGCCCATGAATATGAAAGAAATAAAATTTTGCATTTGATGGTGCACATGTGTTAAAGATGCAATAAATTTTAATGTTTTATCCGCATAAAATTTTGAAATAGGGTGGGAATCACATTTAAAATAAATTTAGACAATATTTAAAATTTTCTATGTACATATTTTAATTAAATTTTTTCATAAGATTAGTGGCTATTATATTATTTTAATTTTCTGAATCAATACAATAAATCTAAAAAAGTTGTTTCATTCAAATTGTTGAATTTGTGATTTTTGTAGTTAGTTTCTATGCTTTTTGACTTATAGGAAGTCATATGACATCAGCGTTCAATGAGCTGCTAAACTAGTTGGTCTAATGGCAGCCCACCAATTAGTAGGCTACTAAAGGTTCAGATTTTGTACAATATTAAGCTTGGCCCAAACTAAAGCCCAAATTTGGCTGTTAAAGTCCATCTTGATTGCGATCACATCCAAATTATTTGATTCAAAATATAGCACTCGAAAATATTAGGTAGCGTTTGGTTTAGTTATAGAATTATTATTTGATAATGAATATTATATTTTGAGTTTGTAAGTTGTTAAATTATGATTTGAAAAGGAAAAATATGTTTGATTATGAGTTTTGAAAAGAGTTTTGAATTTTTGAAATGAGTTTTGATATAAGAAAAGTTGTTTGGTTATAAGTTTAAAAAAAAGTTTAAAAATTCTATTCAAAACTTATAATCAAACTTTTTTTAAAATTCAATTCAAAAAAATAGTTATTGAAAAAATTAAAATTTTTATTTAAAAAATTCCAAGAATATTTTTTTATTTAAATTTATTAAAAATATATATTATTCAACTAGTGCTTTAAAATTTCTTTTGATTGTATATTTGATTGAATTTTTTTTTTAATTGTTTTGTTTAATTTTTTTTATTTTAAAATTACTGTGACAAATTAATTTTTATTTAATTTTTTTTTGTTAATTTTAAATAAATGGTCAAATAATTTGTCATTTTAGTCTAAAAAAATAATTTATATATTTAAAAAATATCAAAAACAAATATAATTTTTTTTTTCAAATAACAAGTGGCAATTGCAAAAAAAAAAAAAATTTGTTCTGGTCAACCGGCCTGATGTCCGGAAGGATGTCTAGGCGTACAATCAAGTAGACCAAAAAATTCAAAAACTCTCTGATTACTAAACATGTTTTGAAATGTGAATTGAAATTATATTTTGAAAACTATAATCAAATAGAGAATTGAAATATGAGGACAGAACCATGATTCTAAAATGGAACCAAATAGTACCTTATAAATATATATGTGGAAAAATTATTACATGCTATGTGATAATATTTACATGATTGGGGACGCTGGGTCACCCCATCTTTAGATACAATCATTTACTTTAAGGCCATGCTCGAACGATGATAGTGTTATAGGAGAATGAGAATGTCATTATTAATAATGAGATTATTGGTAATAAAATTTCAATATCAGTCACTGTATTTGGTTTGACCTTTCTAAATTAAGTTTTTTAAAAATTTATTTTTTTGGTTTTTGCCTTTTTTTATTTTTAGTGAATATTTTTTAAATTTTAAATATTTTTTTTACTTTTTGTGAAAAAATATTTTAAAAAATTAATAAATACATAAAAATACAAAAAATGTACTAAATTCTTGTATTTTTTTATATTTTTGGTATTTCATGAATTTTTAAAAGATTTTTTTTACAATTTTTTTACTTTTTAGGTGCATTTATGTTAGGTGTGTCTAAAAAGTAAAAAAATTACTTAAAATATTAAAAAAATGCAGTAAAAATAAAAAAACACGGAAAATAAGAGAGTAGAATTTTCTGAAAAGTGTTTTAGAAAACTGGAAACCAAGCAAGGTGAGTGCTATTCAAGAGTTTGGTTCATTATTTATTAGGAATTTTCAATGAAAAATTGATGAAGTTTTAAATATAGTGGATCCAAACACAATCTTTCTGAGAACTTAGAGCTTTGTCTATTTGTCAAGTTTTCTGACTTAGGCATCGGAGAGGTTTCCGGCACACACCCGCCGGCTAGCTCACGTTTGTGTTTTCATTCAGGTGACAAAGCGACGTCGTACGGAGGAGCGTGGACTTGGTCAACAGGATTATACGAGGAGAATTATTTCCTCCCCGTACACTAGCCAAACTATCAATTTATTTATTCTTTACATAATTAACATTTCGCTTAAATAAATAATCAAGAATCACTTTTAAACTTGGCAAAGTTGATATATATACATATATATAACCATTCATTAACCTTGCGTATCAAACCATATAGGATATAAAAACTCGGAATTTAAATCTCCTTAATAAAACTCAAATGACTTATCATTTTGGAGACCATTTTGACATCATATTTAAGAAACTATTATATGGTAAGTTAGCAGAGTCACCATTCAAAATATTTTGTAAAAAAATATAAAATTACAAAAATTTAAAATAAAAATCTTACCCCATCATTGTTTGGGATGCAAATCTAGTAAACCCAAATTTTTTTGTTTTTCTACTTGGCCTTGAAATATTATTTTCCTAAGTTGACCTTAGATCTATAATTGGTCAAGCAAGTCTGGCATTAATTATATGTATCAATCAGTTGGTATAACATATGTACTTTGACATATAATTTGTGCACCATATATCATACATCATTCGGACCTTAAAATAGGCAATTATTATCAAGTTTTAAATAACAACCTATAAGGTATCGACATTGTAGATTTTTGTATTGAAAATTTAATAATATATCAATTAATATAATTTGATTGTGATCGATATATAACTGTATTTTTATATGAAAATTGTTTGAGGGCTCGAAATTGTTTGGCTCGAAATTGGCTCGAAACCCAAAACAATGTCGTTCTGGATTCTCTTGTCGGTAACATGTAATAAAATTCTCTTACCGGTAAGATAATCCAAAACAACGTCATTTTGTATTCGGGACAAATTCGAACTTGAAAATTTTGGGATTGAAAATTTCGGGCCCTGTAGCAGCTTTGTTTTTATATTAATATGTATTTCAATATCAATATTTAAGGCTATGAATTTTTGTTGAACAAATCAAAGGCCACAATCATAAAGTTTTGGTGAAAGAAGAGAAGAAATAATGAAAGAGACATTGTATGAAGAAGAATTGCTAAATTGCTTTTGAATGGGGCTTGTATGGGTGGTGGTTGCGGATAATTGAAGTCTGAGATAGACTTGTGGGGTAGTTGTTAATCTTAACTTGAGAGTAGTTGAGGGCGTAAATGAAATTTTTTTGCGTTGGCCATCAATTTTAGATTTTCACGTCAAATCATTATGTTAATTTAATTTTAATTAATTATGAATCTTTATAAATTAATAAAAGTGAGCACAGAGTTCAATAATTTTTCTTAGGGAGATGAATCTTAATAAAATAGGAAATTGAGTCCCAGTTTGCTGGTTTAGCTGAACATAAGTCATTGAAACAAAAATTGACATGGTCCAAGCCCCCCCCCCCCCCCCCCCCCCCCCCCCCCCCCCCCCCCCCCCCCAAATAACCAAAAACCCACTTCCCAAACGGAGGTAATTCATTAAATTCAATACAAGTGTACACAAAATATTTAAATATTATTTTTCTTCGAGTTTTCTAACTAAATATAATTTGGTCGATTATTAATAAAAAAAATAAAAAATTTAAATTAAAAATAAATAAAAAGAAAAAATAAAAAAATAAAAAAATTGAAGTTTATTTTATTATAAGATGAAACCTTAATTTAAAAAAAAAAAAATTCTCCATAAAATTTTATTTTTCATTATTATTATTATTATTATTATTGCACTCGATAAGATGTCAACGTGCTGTATAAGAAATTAATAGACTCAACATAATGGTTTGTCCTTAATTAATTTACAATTCTTTTTTTTTTTTTTTTTTTGCGCGAGGGGGCTGGACCATGTCAATTGTTCTAATGACTTATGTTCAGCTAAACCAGCAAACTGGACTCAATTTCCTATATTTTAAATTTTCCCTTAAAAACAATATTGAACCTGTGCTCACTTTTATATTATAAAGATTCATAATTAATTAAAATTAAATAACATAATGATTGACGTGAAAATCTAAAATTGATGGCCAACGCAAAAAAATTTCATTTACGCCCTCAACTACTCTCAAGTTAAGATAACAACTACCCCACAAGTCTATCTCAGACTTCAATTATCCAACCACCACCCATACAAGCCCCATTCAAAAGCAATTAGCAATTCTTCTCTCAACTGTCTCTTCATTATTTCTTCTCTCTTCATCCTTACCAAAAACTTTATGATGTGGCCTTTGATTTGTTCAACAAAAATTCATAGCCTTAAATATTGATATGAAATACATATTAATATAAAAACAAAGCTGCTACAGCGCCCGAAATTTTCAATCCCAAAATTTTCAAGTTCGAATTTGTCCCGAATAAATAATGACGTTGTTTTGATATCTTACCGGTAAGAGAATTTTATTACATGTTAACCACAAGAGAACCAGAACGACATTTTTTTGGGTTTCAGCCAATTCGAACCAAACAATTTCGACCCTCAAACAATTTTCATATAAAAATACAGTTATATATCATCACAATCAAATTATATTAATTGATATATATTATAAATTTCAATACAAAAATCTACA